ATACATGTTAAGAATATTCACTTATCCTCAGTACTATACAGCTTTAGAAGAGCAAAAGAACCGGATAACTGAATATGTACATATAAAAGTATGTCAACACGAATCTCAAGAGAGATGAACAACTCATGAAGAAGATACAGACAATCGTACAATTGTTTCAACGATCATTTTTTGGTTGAATATTGGCTCGAACGATCAGTGAAAGACGCAAGGAGAAGCTCATGTAGGGCGGTAAACAACCTTCAAGACTATCGACATGGAGCACTCTTTCGGATTAGATATCAATCGAGTCAAGGCTTACCATACAATCAACAACTCTCATCGATCGAATTAGTCCCCATTCTTATTATGTGTGAATAGCTCTATGATAACCAAAAAGTCACCCTGAAACGTTAGTAATAACGAGGGAGCTAATATGTAATTTTATAATGCTATGACCTATGTCTATAAATAAGGGTTCATGTCGTGAATAAACGACACTCTCTTTTACTGTTCCTTACTAACCTATCTCTCTCTCTCTCCCTAATTACTTCCTAGCAAAATGTTATATTCCTTGGGTGTATTTCCCAAACAATTTTGGATTCAATAATAATCATTATTTTTAGAAACAATTTCTAGCTTCAAGCAACCAAATAAGCTGTTTAATAAAATTTGCAATGAAGAGCACATTATGTACAACATATAGAAGCACAAAACAATCAATGTAAAATATCGAAAAGAAATTTTAGGAAAATATTCAAAACAACAAATATATAAGTTTTTTTCTTAATGATTTGTGTTTGACACCCTGAGCAGTACTTAGAACAAACAAACAAAAAATAAAAATAAAAATAACCCCCAATATTTGGATAAATTAATGGTGATAAGCAATAATATAATATTCAATATTAATCAAAATTCAAAATTTGATCTTGGTTGCCAAACCTTGGTCAAAGATTCATCTTTCACTTCCAAAGAGTTGGGATTTTTAATTTTATTTATCAATCATGCACTTAAAAATCAAACCTTTATGGCTTCCACACACTCCTTTGCTTCATAGAATAGGCCAATAATACATACTAAAGAAACAACACCAAAACCATTTTCCTACAAAGTATGCTTCTTTAATGATACCCATTTGAACATACCTATGTAGCTATCCTATAAAATCATTCATATTGCAATAATGGAGCTTTAGTTTGATGGTGTAAGAAATGGCCAAAAAATAAAGAAAACTCAATAGAAATCAGCAAAACAAGCACTTTGTTTTATCAAAAAAGAAAACATAAAGATAATTTAAGAAAAAAAAAACTGAACATTAAAGAAGTTCAAGGAAAGCTTTTGGGTGTGCTTGATTTCCTCATATCATCTTCTTTCTTTTTCTAAGGAGAGCTCTGCTTTAAATGCTATTAATATATATATATATATATATAAATTTTTGAAAGATGGTATAAATGGTTGCTTATTATATATATATATATATAAAGGAATGACCCGGGCTATTACACGAGTCTCAGTCATTTTCGATTGCGCCTAAAAATTTGATTATCACACCCTCCACTGAGGGGAATCAAACCTCATACCAGAGAGGATTTACAACTGACAAGCAGATGCCCCACCAACTGATCCGAGTACGCGATGCTATATATATATTCAAAAGAAATGACCATAAGTTATTATATGAGTCTCCAGCTATCTTTAATGTGTCTAACAATTCAAGTGCCACCCTCTATAAGACCACCATCATTAGCGGGGGATTTCAACCCTAGATCTTAAGGGACTTGCAACTGACACCGCAGATATATATATTAATGTCATAATTGTACCAAACTAAAAGTATAAAAAAGTTTATTTTATTTTTAAATAATTTAATAATAATAATATTTTGATGTGACATAAAAAAACATAAATATATTCTAAATAAATAAATAAAAAATATAAAAAAGACATTAAAGAAACCCAAAACCCAAAGAAGACACTCCATTAGATACGTAGGCTCTTAGTTAAATTTAAACGCCTACCATTCCTATATGCAAACAACTGAGATTTAAGATAAAAAAATGGGGCATTAACACATACATTCCACACAATACATACTTATTTATATATTTAAACCCTGAGCTTTATTTTTTTACATATATATCCTAAAAATCTTTGATATAACATCAAATAATATCATCATTTTAGCTTTTTATAAGCTTTTTCAAGCATAATAAGGTGGCTTTTTGTGAAATTTTAATATTTAGGTGCTAAATATATAAATGGATGAAAGTGGAATGGTATGCACGTAAAATGATCCTATTAAAATGCTTTTAAGTGGTGGGTGATTAGTCCCAATGAGACATAAAATAAAGTCAAAGCTTTATGCTTCTTCATTCATGAAATAATATGATGAAAAGTGAATATAGTGGCTATGAAGCTGAAATTGTGTATTTCACTTTTGAAAAAATGATGATTTTGATATTTATTTGGTTTGAAGTTGATAGGAAATAATATATTTATACGGGCAAAGGGTTTTAGCGGACGGTAAAGGCGGTGTCGGACGGCGGGGTGGTGGTTGGTGGCGACCCGCAGTTGGCCGAAGACCGGCGATGGCTGAATAACACAGTGGAATATTCCTTGTGCTAAAATAATTTTTTTTTCTGTCACTTTCATATGACGTGATTTTATTGGACTCCGGACGTAATATTTGTCCGAAAGAAAGAGATAAATGTGATGCCCCCTCCCACTTTCTTTCTATTCTCTTGATTTTCATTGTATATATAAATGATAAGAAAATAAATAACATTTTGTGTAGTGGTTTGGTGAAAAGATTATGACATGGTCGTCAGGTGGCAATTTTAAAAAAAGATGAACTCGCTTCGTTGAAAATAATGATGAACATATCTAATATGCCGCTCCCTGGATGGGCTAGGTTGCCCCCCGCATGCGTGAAAAATCTAAGACCTTGGATAAGTGAGCTCAGTTCAACCACTTCGACAAGTTGTCATAGTTCAATCACTTCAGTAAGATGACTCAGTTTGCAAAATAGTCTGATTTCTTGATAATGCAACTAATACGATTTACTTGCCTCTGTGTCAGACTCCATAAAAAAGACATTGTTTTGGTATATAGCCTTACAGGTGTATGCAATATACTATATTACTATTAAGCAAAGTATACACTAATTTCAATCATCTATCGTCTTACATGTTCAAAGATAACACAACCAATAATTTATCCGTGAACATAAATAAATAAGTTCAATTATATTCAAACTTAGAGCTTCATACCCTTCATGCTTTTAAAGGCATTCAAACTCACTCAATAATATACTAATTAGAAAAATTAAATAAACATTATTCAAGCTTAATTAAAATTATTCATGGGATTCATGATCAAGTCAAAATGTGTATTTCACTTTAGAAGAAGTTAATGCCAATAGTATTTTTGATATAATGTTTAAGATCTTATCATTAAATAAGTAAATATCAAACTTTAAATGTGATTTATATAACTATAAATATATAATATGCCCCCCACCCCCTCCCCCCAAACCCATATATATATATATATAGATACTTATGTACATACATACATATATGAAATAAAAATTGAATTTTTCTAGTATGTATGTTTGTATACAAGTATGTACTCTATACCAATATTATAAATGTATATGGTGTATGTGGCTCATTTGGAGCTCATACATAATGTAAATGTATGCATGAATATGATTATGTTTGTATGAGTTTATGCATGTGTGTGTACATCTAAATGCATAGATTTATTCACAGCTTCTTTATATTCCGAGCAATAAATTAATAGGATAAAACATTAATAAAAAAAAATTATGTGTTGTAAGAAATTGAATTCAAGTGCTTATTATAATTTTCTTAATAGGATATAAGTTGGGCTTCAAACTTTCGGCCTTCTTAAGCCCATATTTGAATGTGATCGATATTTAGCAGGCCTTGTCCTGAGGCATTATAAGGCATGCAAAGGGTCTGCTTATTTTTGTTTCAGCCATTTAAATAAGATTAGGGGCGTAAACGAGCCGAACAGAAGCGAGCCCAGACTTAGCTTGTGTTCGGCTCATTTATATTTCGAGCTCAAAGAGTGTGTTTGTATTCGACTCGTTTGTTTAGCGAGCAGAACACGAGGCGTTCACGAACAAATAGTCGTTTTGACAACCCTAAAGCATCATTTGAATCTAATTTAATAATTTTTATTCTATTTTTTTCATTAATACTTTTAATTGATTATAAATTTTTGTAGCTTTTTAGTCAATTAATTTATTTTTAAATACTACTCATCAAAGATATGATTATAATTGATTGGTAGTACTTCGAGCCAAAACGAGCCGAACACGACCGAATAAATATTTGTTCGTGTCGTTCGTGTTCGGCTCATTAACTTAACGAAGGAGCCGAACACGAGTTTTTTAACGAGTCGAACATGAGCTATTTGCAAACAATAAGCTGTTTTGATAGCCCTAATTAAGATTTGGTTATGAATTCATATGAAATCAAAATTGACGGTAATGATTTGCAAGAACAAATTAAATTATTTACACAAAATGATTATTATTATTATTTATAAAATAAATGAAATAAGCCAAAATCATTATATATTATATCATTTAAATCATACCAATTCTAATTATTGATTTACGAGGAAAATTAGAGAATGAAATATTGGTTATAATATACATATGAATATAATGTACAAATAATTAATATCGAATTAATCTAAATACATATATAATGATTTTGAGCCAATTTTATTAATTATTTTTATTTGCAAATGATAAGCGATCTCGTAAATATAAGAAGTGGTAAGAATATGAGAGAATGTTAGTCGAGATAATCTAATTTTTTGGGTCACTTATGCATAGGGTCGTCAAAATGACTCGTTATTAGCGAATAGTTCGTGTTCATTTCATTAAGAGGCTCGTGTTCAATTCATTCGTTAAGTTATCGAGCTAAATACAAACAACTATATATATATAAATAAAAAGGAGACATAGGACGGGTTGTAATTTCACCGATTTAAAATTACCATACTATCTCCTTTATATATATCGCCGGCCGTAAAAGAGCTGAGAAAACTGCGAATTAGGGTTTCTTCCCGCCTCGTTGCCGATTTCCTCTTCGCTCTCAGGTTCCTCCCGAGCTTCATTTCCTCGATAACTTCAGTGTAGATTATTCGGTTTAGTGTTTCTTAAAATTGATTTCGATTGCTACTTAGTGCTGATCATACGCGTTCTTGCCATTCATTGATTGGGGCTTGCTTGTTTTGATTTGGTTGATCTGGATGGAATTGGATTTGAAAACTTAGCTAAGAACCTATTATTGTATTAGTTTGGTCCGTATAATATTCTGTCTAGTTCTGGATAGTTCAGATGCGTTATAGAAGATCTTGCTAAATGTTTTTAAGATTTTTTGGTTGTTTTCATTGATTTTCAGGATAATCTGCGATGGCTGGGAGAGGTCGCTTACCTCGACAGCCTTTTGACGATGGCCGACGTGGGTATCCTGGCATTGCTGAAGGGCCTTTTCCTCGCGGTCATGTTCCGCGTCCTCTTCATCCCGCAGCCTACGAGGAAGAGCTCGAAGTTCAGCATCACGAGATCCGAAGGCTGGTGGGTGATAATCGAAGGCTTGTGGAGGATAGAATTGCCTTTCACAGCAGGAACTAGGTGCTGCGAAGGAGGAGATTCATCGCTTGAATTTGATTATTGCTGATATACGTGCTGAAAAAGATGCACATTCTTCGAAGTTAATAGAGAAAGGTTTGAAGCTGGAAGCTGACCTGAGGGCAACCGAGCCACTGAGAAATGAAGTGATTCTGCTTCGCGCAGAAGTTCAGAAGCTGAATGTTATTAGACAAGACCTTAATGAGCAAGTTAAGGTCCTGACTCAAGATTTGAAAATGGCCAAAGCTGAACATCAGCAAATCCCTGCACTGAAGTCAGAAATTGATGGTTTAAGGCAGGAGCTTATGCGTGCAAGGTTTAAGTCCCATGCAAACTTTTTGCACCACGAACATTGTCATTTAGCATAATATGTTGGGGCATTTACATATGTACCATCCCCCCAGTTCATATGTATTTACATATCTAACTCTTAAACTTTGATTTTTGCGTTAATACCACCCAAAATTTTTTTATCACATAAGAATACCACTATTTTAAATTTGAAAAGTGAAATACATCTTTTTATGCATAGGTGAAGTAGCCTACATGTAAAAATTGAATCGTAGGTGTTAGATATGTAATTACATAGGTGTTAGATATGTAATAGATATGTAATTACATAGGAATTGAGTGATATGTATGTAAATCTTTCTAATATGTTTGCATATGCAGTTATTTTCTCATGTCGATGGTTTAAATTTCATGAAGGTTTGTTAACAATTTATTTATTGTTGTGAAGGGCTGCAATTGATTATGAGAAGAAAGGAAACGCCGAACTGCTGGATCAAAGGCAGGCAATGGAGAAAAACTTGGTTTCAATGGCACGCGAAGTTGAAAAATTGCGTGCTGATCTTGCAAATAGTGATGGAAGACCTTGGGGCGTAGGTAAATTACTCTCGATGGTTGTCTTTTTTTGCTCATGTTTATATTGAATCTCATAAAGGAAAATGGAAAACTCGGCGTGTTGCAGTTGATATAAGCATTTTCTAATTTAGCTCTGTTTATTTTCTTTCATACTTTCTGAACAGTCTTATGGCAGATGAAGATAAGACTTGTCTTAGTTATTTTTTCACTGTTTTATTGTTACTGCGATTATTAGTCTTTTTATGCATTTCTAAGATCACATTTGATTGGAGTGCTTCATATGTTCTTTTAGTAATTGGCTTGTGAATTTCTCTGATAAGCTTTAAACAACTAAAGAATGTTCAATTTGCTTTAATTTTTCTGACCCATATTCCTTTATGTTGAATTTTGTTTAAGGTGGAGCTTATGGGATGAAACATGGCAGCCCCGAAGCACCTTTTGCTCCTCCATATGGGGAGGGATATGGTGTTAATTTGGTATAGCAATTCTTTTCGCTATACTTTTTTTAATGCTTATTTAATCCATAATTCGTAATTATTTTTTTCTACTCTTAGGGTGGTGCAGAGAAAGCTCCTCTCTACGGTGCTGGCGCTGGCGCATGGGGGGCGTATGACAAATCTCGCTTTGGACGTCATTGAGATGCTACGTTTATTTATCTTCCAAACGGGAAATCTTGCACTTCATTTTGGCATCTTCTATCAATTAATGAACTAGCTGTTTTTAGTTTGCTTGGTTGGTGCATACTCCACCATCCTTCTCTGTTGAGACTCTGAGTGTTGTCATTATAAACCAACATAGCATCTTGTTTGTGGTCTATATGTGCTTCAATCTTTTATGTTATTTTGTACTGACCATATGAGGCCTTAGGCCAACTTCATTGACGCATGTTTTTCTTTTTTTCTCTTTTTATGATGCATCAATTGGCTCTTTCATTTCCTAAGTTTCTCTGTTAGGTGAATGCTTTTGATTTGAAGGAACCTCTGTGAAAGGTTTTGATTTGATATTAATTCTGTGCCTACTGAGTTGTGAGGCAAGACAATTTGAGTTCATGAATCCCCTACCAAAGTGACTGAACCATGGTTATCATGATCCATTATTTTGAGGGCCTGAATCTATATTTTTGCTATATATGATAGTTGATGCCATCTTCAACAACTACTAAGTTTTTATGGAGAATAATGACAAATTATGGTATTTTGACCCTGCTGTAAGAGTAGCACCAATTGAAGTTAGGGTAGCAGGGAATATAATTAGTTGTTTGGGCATGTAGAAGGGAGGACCTAAGATGCGGTAAGATGAGTAGTAGAAATTTGTGTTGATGGATCAAGAAGAAAAGGGCTATTTTCAAATTAAATGGACGAAATATAGCTAAAGGTTTGCTTAAACTTAATTTAGCACATCACATAGTTCCCAACATGAAGGAATGGAAAACGTGGAATCATTATGATTATCACACATAATTTGAATTAGGCTAATTATGAGAAATACTGGACTATGCAGTTGGTTTGCCTGGGTTATGATTATGCAAAGTTTAGTTTTGTTTTAGTTTATGACTACAAAGGCTTGGGGTGGGCGCGCTGATGATTCACTTATTATTATATGGTTTTTATCTATGGAATTTCAAGATATTGAGCTTATAGCATTTTGTATTTTGATGAAGTAACATCATGGAGACTGCCATTGGAAGTATTGTGCCAAATCTCCATAGCTTAGGAAAGCGACCAAATTTAGCTGGATGGATTTTTATTTTGCGAAGTATTAAAATATGTTAATCATTTTTAGCTCGGTTAGAATGTTGTTGAGGTTATGATGTAATTGCTGCAGACATTTATCACTATTTCTAAGGTTTGTTTTATGGAATAGAAGTCAGCTAACCTTTGAAAGAAGCATTTTCTTTACTGGAACTGCCATTGCACTGGCGAAATTGGTATTTTCCAACGTTTTCACATAAGCTGCCAGTTATCAGACTGATTATTCCGGTTCCGAAGTTCAGTGAATGAGTATTTTTTATAGGCTTTTGTGGGATTTGCAGATGATATTTTTGCCAGGCTTTATTCCTGTAATTTTGCGTTTTACAATTTATTACAGGAAGCATAAGAAACATTTTTTTCATGAGCACATGAGCCATATTCAGCAGAAGAGATTATAGATTACTAAAGATATGTGAACTAATGCTGTTTATAAGCAGTCACTCTCTTGAGCGTCAGCGTCGTGCATTGTAAGTTTGGTCAGTGGTGAAAAGTTCCAGAAATCATCAACATGAGACGGTGCAGCTGATATATAGTCCTGAGTTTGGTGATCCTTAGTTTCTTGCCATCTAGGTTAAGATTATAGATGTGGAATTCTGTTCAAACTTAGAACATTTCACTGGATCCAAGTGAATGAGCAGGGAAAACTTATTTGATCAGTCAGAGTTACTTGAGGCTTCTATTCATCTCTACACCTCTTTATCATTTTAACGTTTTTTTTGCGCCAATTTTGACATGAAATTTGAATTGTGAGCTTTAAATTTAGCAAACAAATCTTTACCTTTTTGGAGACAAAGTATTCTATCCTGGCAAGAGATCATTCGGGTATACCTGAAGTGAAGAAGATCGAGGGAGCTGAACTGGGGCTATGTTATGACTGAAGCTTAGAGGCAAGTATTCTTTTGCTAATTTGGATGTAGTTAATTTAGATAATTTGTACTTATAACTTCCTAGCGCCTGTATGCACTGTGAAGTTTCGTTGGCGTTGCTCTGCCTCCATGTTGTGAATGCCCACTTATCATCCTCAGATCACAAAAAAGTGCTTTGATCAGTAGCTGTTAAATTCCCTAAACTTAATGCTATTGTTCTATGATATGGCTCCTCTGAGTGGATACATGGCTTCATGTTTTGTTATGAGTATCAATAGAGAATTTTTATGCTACTTTTTCAATTAGGACTTTAGGTTGAATTCTTTTCCCTGATTTTTTGGATCACTTATTCATAGATGGAGAAAGCATTTGCAAGTTGGTCCTTTTGAAAGTTTAAAATTGTTGTTTTGTTGTTTTTAATGAATTTTTTTGGTGTGCATAAGCTAAATGTGTTGAGCTGTCAGTATTTAGGGACATGACATTGAGAAACTAAGATACGGTTCCATTTAAGATCCAGCCTGCACTGTCACACAAGTTGGCGTAGTAGAGGTGTTTGGCTCCTTCAGTTTTAGATTTTCTTCGCGAAAATGGCTTAAAAGGATTTTATTATATGTTTGATTCCTTGGAACTTGGTTTGGAAGCATTTTTAGTGGATTTATGGTAATAGTTCGTTCGATACTGATCCGGAGGGACTGGCTTTGGCTCCTTCGGTTTTAGATTGTACTTGTGAAAATGGCTTTAAAGGATTTTTATTATATTCTTAATTTCATAGCACTTGGGTTGGAAGCATTTTTAGTAGATTTATGATAATAGTTCGTTTGATACTGATCTGGAGGGACTACCTTTGTATCTGATTGCTTATTACGTCTAGATTTGGCCTTGAACTTGTAGTAGAAATAGCAGTTCAGGTTGGATTTGACTTGGCCATCCAAACATTTCTATTTCAAGTTTTAAAGCGTATGTATTTACGATATGGTACTATGGTGTTTAGCAGAGCAGTGTGTATTTCTATCCCATCCTTTAAAGTATTTTGTACGAGGACAAGCCCTTTGTTGGCGGTTGAGTTTTTTTAGCATGATTTGGTTGAATTTCTATTTTCTTTTTTGCTGAGGAGATAGGTGTGATTGGCAGAAAACATTCAGATGTGCTGCTAAACTTCGGGAAGTGGCCTACCTCTCAAGGCTCATCACTTGTTGTTGTGTGGTTGTAGTGTCAAATCCAGTGTCGGTTTCACCTTTTTATTGAGATTCATCAAGATGATGACTTGAAAAGCGAATATTTTGGTTATGATTTTAAATGAAGGGGGAGAAAAAATAATAGTCTGAGAAAAGTAATATCTTGAAAATAACCTATGGGAAGAGATTGATGTTACATATAGAAGGTGCTTCCCCTGTGTAACTTTTAGGAATATTTTCTTGATCTGATTTATAAGTTATGCAGGTTTCTTAATATATATGTTCTTCATCTGAGGCGATTCATTGATTTAGGCCTATCTTGTTTATGGCTATTTACAGTTCAAGTCTCATTTTAGGTTTCGGATACTTTTATAATTTTTCAGTTTGATTGTGATAGGAGTACAAGCAATACATTATGATTTTTGCTGTGAGGGATAAATGTACATCGGCCATTTAGTACATTATAAGTTTTTTTTTTTTTTTTCATTTACTTAGAACTTTATTACTTTGTTTTTTGAAGCTCATAATCTTTTACTTCCAAGATGCTTGATAAGCAGTTTTCATATTCGGCATCACATTCTATATCTGTTGGTTAAATATGATGCTCCGTTTAGTTATTTTCCTTGCCTTAAAAATGAGAATTAGGGTATACATTTGCTGCAGGTGGTTTAGGTTAATTCAGTTTTCCTTTTATAATTTTTTTTCTTTTACAATAAGAAAGTGAAGATTTTGGATTACTGTGTTTTGGCTGAAAGTTAGTAAAATTTCGTTCAGAGGGGCATAGAAAGTTGTTTGTCGTCGTACATCATAGATGCTATTTTAGTTACTTCTATGCACACCCAACGTAAAAATACTATTCACTCTAAAATGCTCGTCTTCAGCATCACGCCTGATATTTGTGTCTATAAATTGGAAGTTTCCAGGGGTGTTTGGACTTTGGATCTTGGATATTAGTTTAATAGCATCAAACTATTTCTGTTGAAGAGATTGATAACCAAGTGTTTACTTTTTACACCATGTTTTACACTCACAAATTTCATGAATTGATCAATTTTCTTAAAATTCTCCCGCTCAATTCTGAAAGAATTTGAGAAACTATGTGAAGTTTTGAATTTCTTATGCATTGTCATTTATTTAATAGTTGGTTTCCATTTTCAGGCGCATGAGCTTTGATTGATAAGAAGAATCTTCTGAGAAGGTTGTCCATGTTCTTGTTCGCCAAATATCAGTATTTTACACGGCAATACATCAAGCAGCCGGCTATGGAGCTGATTTTTTTTCTTGCTTCAGGTATAAAAATTGCTCCAAATTCTTATGCGCCTTTAAATTGCACTTAATATGCTCCTTTGCCCGTTGTTTTTATTTATTAATCCATTTTAGTTGCCATGTTTATACTAATCTTACCCTGGCTCTTAAGGTATCTTCCCTAAAGAAATTCTGCCCTGTGAATTTTTTTGTTTTTTGTTTTCTTAATTCATTTCTGCTTGCTGCTAAACATTTTATAATTTACAATGAAGCGAGTAGTCTCAGTAATCTGACATTAAGCATGTTTAGATGAAAGTTGAAAAGGGTGATGTTTATATATCCCCCACATTGATTTCTTGATTTATGGGTGGTGGGTATGGAGCCCCATTTGTGCGTGCGACACATCGTCCCTTGAGTAAATTCAAGGCAACGTGCGGTTTTTTTTAAATGTTTTCTTGATGCTAGTATTCAGAACAACCAACACAACTCACCCTTTCTATAATTCAATTTGCCATGCAGGTATTAAAATGTTAAAATTGTGTCATTTTTCACGTTTTAAGTGCTATAATAATTTTCACATTTGTGTTTAAGTTGTTTTTTTACTTGCATGCTTTATATGGTGCGAAGTGTCAATCTAGTCTTTGATGCCTAAAATGCATGTAAATAAAAGGCAAGCGACGTTTTAATAACATGTGACTCTAATATAATAAACTTTTTTTAAAAACTTTTAGGGAGACATTTCCATAAATTGTTTCAATAGTTAAATGACATAATCAAAACAAAATGCATTATGACATCATAACAATCATAAACGGGCCCTTAATGTGTAGGAACTAACAATAACAAGTACTAACATGTTAAGTGTATTATTAGATGCTTTACACAAGAATAGTAATCTTATTTTTGATTTTTTGTAACAACTTGAGTCAGTTTTATAAATTCCCATGCCTTTATTCTTTTTTAGCGTTTCTTGAGATAGGTAATTTATACCGTGGAAGGCTTCTTTGCCAAACTTATAAAATGTTCCCTTTTGCCTAGTCCTTAATGTTATTCCTTTCATATTTATTCTATTTGATTGATTTATTATTATTGATGTATCTTATGCCTTTTATTCACTTTAGGAAATCATCTACAACAACAACAACAACAACAAAGCCTTAATCCCACTACGTGGGGTCGGCTACATGAATCCTTTTTCTCCATTGCATCCTATTTAGTGTCATATTTTCATTTAGTTCTAGTAAATTAAGATCATTTTTAATACAATAAGCCCAAGTCTTCCTAGGTCTACCTCTGCCTTTCTTAACACAAGTCGAATTTAAAACATCTACTCTCCTAATCAGA